CGTTGTTGTGCAGGCACCGAACCTGGGCACAGAGAGACGATCCACGATGGGCGAATGTTTACCGCCGTCGAGCCTATGGAAGCACGTTGCGCCCAAACAGAGTGCCGATAAAGGGGAGTAGGCGAATTCCAGAAAGCAGTTCAGAAGAAGGTGCGATCGCTGGGACAAGAGATTTTTCAGCCTAACGTTTCGGATTCTCACTCGAACCCGTCGCCAGGGTCAGGCACAGAAAAGGGTAGTCGAGACAGTATTTATAGGACGCAGTTGCTCGACAACCACATGCTTACAATGCTTAGCAACGCTCACGTTCATTGTTGGGGATCGTATTTGTTGCGATAATTGCTTGTCTGTCCGTACCTGAGCCGTTGATTGCCGTGACTTACTCATCGTTGTTAATTTTTGACTTGACGACTACCTCATTCCCTAGCTCTAAGGACCAAAACCCGCTGACCTCGTCATGCGGGCGGTGTAGGGAAGAAGAGTGTTAATGATTTAAAAGCACTTGAGACATCTAAAAACACTGATAAGTTTGTGCATTTTCATTTAATCATGGAAGTATATTGACCTGACGAAGAATAATCGAAAACACGTGATAGAAAAATTGACTTTCATAGATGACTTCGTATCCTCACATTGGAGCATAATTCGGTCAATCGTGCAATCACCTGCTCAACGCTGATATATGGTATACTGCATTTGTAAATGATCAATAGACTAACGAAAAGCTGCACAAAAAATATCGAAGGTTCAAGCAGTCTAAGAAAGGTTGTCCATAAAATAATATAACCTAATACAAAATACGTTAGTGGGGACGCAGTCTGTGTGGAAGTAGATTGATAGAGCACTGCTTCGGGCTTGTTTGCCTTGATTCAGTTAATCATAACCCTGACCGGCAGCTGGCAGCGCAAACACAAACATGCGCGCAGACAGAGCTGACACAGCTGGTCCAACACTGGGGTCTACCAGATAGGTCATAAGCACTTCATCGAACCGAAGTTCATCAGTGCCTCGCCACCTGCCATTCTCTGTCGCTGCAGATCGGGTATTTATTCACTCAGGAATGGGCGCACACCGGTCCATTGGCTTCCCGAAGCAAACAAGCTTCGTATGGGCGATAGGGGTCAGGAACAGGCAACCACCTACCAGGCCGAAGTCGGCCAAACTATGATAGCAGAGGGGAGACGACAGAGTCTGGGGGTAGATTGATACAGCACTGTTTCGGGCTTGTTTGCCTTCATTCAGCCAATCATAACCCTGACCACCAGCAGCTGGTACCGGAAACACAAACATGCGCTCAGACGCACCTGGCGCAGCTGGTCCACCACTGGGGTCTAACAGATGGGTCATAAGCACTTCATCGAACCGAAGTTCATCAGTGCCTCGCCACCTGCCATTGTCTGTGGCTGAAGATGGGGTATTGATTCATTGAGCAATGGACGCACACGGATGCATTGGCTTGCCCAAGCAAAGAGGCTTCGTATGGGCGATAGGGTTCACGAAGAGGCAACCACTTACCAGACCGAAGTCGGCCAAGCTATGAGATCATTGGGGAGACTACAGTGTCTGTGAGCGGGTGTGGGGTATATTGATAGTGCACTGTTTCG